GTGCTTTACCTGGAAACCTAAAGCTGCACTAGGTATACATCACATATTAGCACAAAAAAACTAGATATTTTGAGCACTCAATTGAACATGTACACATAACGTATCAATCGTACTTACAGGTTGTGGTTCGGAGAGCTTGTTAGTCCAAATGAAGAAGATTAGAAGCCAACGAAGATAAAAGGCAAGATTAGAGAAGCAGTCCTCGGTAAAATGACGAGCACAACAAAAGGTTTGAATTGTATTGCTGTGGTATCGTGGAACACAGTATCTTCTCGACACAGAGAGCGTTCGTATTTCGTGGGCAGGCGGGAATTATGCTAATGTGTTACCCAGTGACGTAGATCGGTAACAGGCAGAAGATTCGAAAATATAACGATTCGTTAAGGCGGTTGTGAGTCGACTCTTTCTTTTGAGAGACAATGTCTTTATTTATCATGAGCTTTTTTGGTTAACAACTTTGCAGACTGTTTACATGGAAGGATAGCTACCTTACAAACTGCAAAAGAGATATTTTTCGAAAACCCATATGACCTGCTCTTTAAACGTATGCACAATACATTATATGGGTTTGATGTTTATAAATGGGGTTGCAAAAAGGTGTAAATTTCAGAAATATTCCAGAAATTTTGGAAACTTTCCAGGATTTTTGAGAATATTCCAGGGATTTTTGGAAAGTTACCGGAAATTTTCCACCCCTTTGCAACCCTATTTATAAATATATAATTTTTATCAATGTACTGAAAGTCACGATTGTTTCAACAGCAAATATCTTATCCATTTGTTTTACCACAACATGAATACAATGATCTGTTAAACAATAATTTTTTTTAATGATGTGATGTCCCCATCGTTTTCCTGTAATTTAATGCCTTTTAATATTAATAATTTATAAAAGTATATAACAACAACAACTAATAATAATGATTATTCTTTTTCTTATTAAAAATAATAATAATGATTGTGATTAATTATTATTATTTATATTGTTGTTGTTACTAGTACTATTATTATAAAAAATATTATATACATTTATAAAGTACATATGTGTGGATATACACACACATACACAATAGCAATAATAATAAATATTTATTATTATATTAATAATAATGTATACATAATTTAACCAATTTGATCAAAACCTGATTTATATACATCAGTTCAGTAATAGTCTTACAAATACAAATGTCAAGTTTTCTACTCCGCTGGAAAGTGTTTCTTACCCTATTAAAATAGTGAGGTTTCCCAAATATGTTAATGTAGATTTTAGCTAATTCTAACATTTAATTCAGTAAATTAATTCAGTAATAATCTTAAACGTGAATGTGGCTGCATGTTTTTCTCCAGTATATATAAGTGCAAAAATAATGTTATGAGGTGTTATTTATTATTATATTATCAAAGCCTATACGTTATTTGATCAAAGTATTTTTTATTTTATTGATGTTTTTTTCTTTTGTTACTCAACCTCTTTCATTTAACTTGCATGCAACTCATTAATTATTAAATAAATAGGATCCATGCAGTACCAGAACAAACATATATACGGTCTCATTCCATTTAAGAAAGAGTACTGTTATTTTCATCATAAAGTGTTATTTTAATGACACTGTTAGACTGCACAATATGTCTTCGTGTCTAGTGTCTTAAGCAGTCATTTGGCAGGTGTTGTGAGATTAATTATCCAGTAAAGCCGCGTCCTTCCGCTTTTACATAATTGAATGTAAGCTCCATCACAACAAAGCCAATGAGTGGCTGTGGCGTTGAAGTTGAGTGCTTATTAGTCGTGGTCTAATGGTTAGAGAGTCAGACTCGTAACCCAAAAGGTTGCGGGTTCGAGTCTCGTACCGGCAGGGATTGTAGGTGGGGGGAGGGAATGTACAGCGCTCTCTTCCACCTTCAATACCACGACTGAGGTGCCCTTGAGCAAGGCACCGAACCCCCAACTGCTCCCCGGGCGCCGCAGCAAAAATGGCTGCCCACTGCTCCAGGTGTGTGTTCACGGTGTGTGTGTGTTCACTGCTGTGTGTGTGCACTTTGGATGGGTTAAATGCAGAGTACTAATTCCAAGTATGGGTCACCATACTTGGCCACACGTCACTTTCACTTTCATTATATATTTATATTTGCGCTCGGAAACAATTACATTCTCAAACCTACTTTATATTGCTACTGTTGTTTCATACGTTTACATCATACTTTAATTCACCTGATTATTCTCATAATGATTTTTGACTTGTCATTCTGATCTGTTACAGCTCCACTGTGAAACATGACAGACGCCATGTTTGGCAGTGAGAATGAGCACTGGGTCTGTCCCAATGACAGACAACTAGCGCTTAGAGCAAAGTAAGTTTGCTTGTTTCTTCAGTTTGTAAGTTTCTTCAAGTCAGCCAATGTAAAGAGTGTGTGGGAAAAGACAATAATAGTGATTGATTTCTGATGAATGATATTTGTCTTATGTGTCTGTACTCCACCCAGGTTACATACAGGCTGGTCCATCCACACGTTTCAGTCAGGGAGGCAGAGGAAAGCTCAGACACTTGAGAAAAGAGAGCTGGATCTCATCATGAGTGTCATCCACCGCGCTGAACAGCTCGAGATCATTGAGCAACACCGGATTGGGTGAGACTTTATCAGTCTGCATCACCTTTATGATTTTTCATGCGTTTTTCTGCTTTGTCACACAAAGTCCTGTCTTCTGTAACTTTAGATGTGTGTGTGTTTCAGGCATTTAGTGGAGCGTCTGGAGAACATGAGGAGATCTGCTGTGGGAAATGGCCTGTCACAGTGCCTGCTGTGTGGAGAAGTGTTTGGTCTGCTGAGCTCTCCGTCCGTCCTCTGTTTGGACTGCTGCATGGTACAGACTGGTCTAAATCTTCTAAATATGATGTTCTCTACCCTTCACACTCACTGCTTTTTTCACTGCAAAAGTACACTTAGTCATTTCCATGTAGTAACGATCTATGGGCTCATGCAGTAATTCTAAGATGCCACATAGTGGCAGCAAAGATCTGTACATTTAAGGACAGGCTGAAAGGGGTAAGATCAGCCATGTTATTGTTGCATTATTTTGGTTAGTCATGTAGGTTTTTCTTGACAATACTTTAAACTAGCGGTTCCCAATCCCTTATTTTGCAGGTCTCTCTTAGTTAACACACCTGTTTCAGATAACCAGCTCGTTAGAAGAGAGCTACGTGCATGAACTGTGTTCTGATTGATATACTGTATATCCCTACACAGTGTTCATTGCTCCCTACTCCCTGAACAAGGGAAATCCGTTGAAGTCACTTCGGGACATTCATTCATGGATTTGCGCTGTGCCGCTGCCTGCATCGTCTTCACACACAGACAAAACTTACTAGAGAAGTGTGAAATAATATACCTCTGTAAACAAATACTATTTAAATTCACGTCTCACACACTTTAGTGCCCTTTGAATGGAACATAAACACTCGTTTCGAACTGGAATCATGGCGGAATATCCAGTGATGTCCACTTCGCAGGGCACTTATGGTCGAATAGAACAAACGTCGTGCATGATAAGAGATACATATACGAAATATGCAGAGCGGGGGGGGCGCGAGGACTGGGATTGGGAAACGCTGCCTTAAACTGAAGTACTTGCAACTTTTGTGCCCACTATCTCGCTTATTGTTTTCAAAAGTAACACACCTTAAAATTTCTGTACATTACAATATAGAACTTGCAGAAAAGATTTAGAACTTACCTTTTTTTCCACATGTAATGGCTCATCTTACTCTGCATCCAACATTTGAGGAAAAAAATGCTTCACATAAGATAAAGCTGTTTGTGTTTTTTGTTTAGTTGTCACATCATAGCTTATAAGAGTACCTGATAAATAGTTAATGTTGTTTTATGTTGTTAAAAAAATAAAGGATCGCGAGCGCTACCATCAGCCAATACTCCACTGAGGACTGGAGTATTGGCTGCTGAAAATTCAGTTTTGCCATCAAAACGATAAATTCAATTTTAAAATATATTAAAATAGAAAACAGTTATTTTAAATCTTAATAATATTTTACAATTTTACCATTTAAATTAGTTTTTGATCAAATAAATGCAGTCTTGGTGAGCATAAAAGACTTACTTCAAAAATGTTGGGAATTCTTACCGACCCCAAGCTTTTGAATGGTAGTGTATAACAAACAATGTAACGTTACACACAATCAATCCTCAAACATGAATAGTGAAACATTCTCTTTTGCTAACCAGTTGCTAAATAAAGACAACAACAACTACAAGGAAGCGACTTTACATGACGACTCGTGTTTGATTTATGATGGTGTGTAATTTATGCTGTAATGTAGGATTATAAATGAAAATCTCTTCAAATAATGTGCTTGAGACCTTATGTTGCCCAAAACACAACAGTACTATCCTTAAAAAAAAAAATCCAGAGGAAACACGAACCTCATAGGTTGGCCTGCAAATGGCAGACATGACAGAGCAGCTGTGTTGAAGTAGTATGCTCAAATATACATATCAAATATAGTATACTGCTTAATATAGCCTGCTATTGGAAATATCGATTTAACTTTGACTTGTTCTCAATGTGACCACAAGGGGGCAGTGTGTAACTGAAACACTGCTTTAGTGTACTGATACTGTACATTAGTGATGCGCGGATGGCGATTTTATCCGCGGATCGGGTGGGTCGGGTAATAAAAAAAAATGCATTCTGATTATTTGCGGGTGGATAAAATAAATCATTAATGATGCAAGTATTAACTACATTTTCTAAATTAGGAACGTGTTTTAAATAGGCTACAGAAATGTAATAAACTGTAAATTAACATTAAAAGTTATTCAACAAAACATTAAGAGCAGTGAGGGATTTTCTCTGTCTTTTGTTGTTTAGGCTATTAGGCTGCTGTCACAAGACCTATTTCACGAATCCAATACTGATACCCATGCATTTTATTTTGCAACTGTTTACATTAACTTAAGACAAAACCGACAGTACTTTCTCAATTTGGTACTCGCAGTAGGCTACGCGCTTTGGATGTGACTGAGCGCGCATTGGTACCGAATGGCTTAAAGACGTGAAAATAATACATTTTTGTGATGATGCAACAATGACCGATTAGGCAATTGACAATTCTGTCAACTGTCCCGAAACGCGAGCTAAAGTCTTCTGTCGCAGCGTGCAGCAGCTCTACATGCGTCGATGTGAAGCGAAAGTCAAAGAGAGAAGACCCGGTACAGCTGAATCACCCACTCTGTTCACATCTGATGGTTTGTGTGGATTTATTTACTCATCTAACCTACACGGTATATTGAATAAAGGTTTTGCGGTAATTTCTCTCATTTTAAAGTCGAAAGCTGTGGGAATGAGTAATGCGATGTATGCGCAATCCCGCAACGAAATTCAGGATCTGATTAAACATAATTCTATTATACAGAGACTTGTGAAATAGATTTTCATGACTTTTCAAAAACGTTTTGAGTTTATTTCTTTTTACAAAACTTTCTAGGCCTGGAAATTGCTGTTCAATTACTTTTCCAGGTTTTTCATGACCGTATGAACCCTAATGTGATGATCGGGTGCGGGTCGGGTGCGGTTATCTAAATCAGACAAAAATATAGGTGCGGGCGGTTGGCGGGTGGATAATTTATTTGAAGCTGCGGATTCGGGTGAAGTTTTAGCTCATCCGCGCATCACTATTGCACATAGTGGCACAAGACTTATACTTTCCACTGAACTTTGGGATTAAAGTTAGTAGTTTACTTGGAGACAGACACGCACTGTGACTTGACACAGGACTAAGGAGTGCTAAAGAGTGAATGAGATCCTTAACAGCAGGTCTGTGCCAGTGAGGACAGAGCATCTGTTACAGAAACACTGAGCTCATATCACTCTGCTCTCTCATGACCTGTGATCATCCTCAACAGCTGCTGTTTCTAGACCTCACTGGAATTACTATGGCTTTTCAACATGCAGGGGAAATGAAAGAATTTATCTTTATTATTATTAGATTTAGGGCTGAATGATTAATTGCATTTGCGATAATATCGCGATATGAAAAAACGTGATTTGCATGACAAGCGAGAGTAAAGAGGTGTGTTTGACTTGAAGATCGATCGGTGTATGACATCAAAAGTATGGCGAGAGAAAGCATAAGGAGACGTCCGTGCTCTCTTATAGCTCTCGCAGTACTTTGATGACACACACCCATCGGTCTAAGCAGCGCTGCTTCAAGTCGAGCGCGGGCCATCAGCAGAAAAAGAAAAGAAATAAAACAGTAAACAGCCAAAGGACGTAACTTAGAATGGGAGATGGATCGGTTTGTGAAAACGAAGAGAAAAGCCATAGATGAAGTCGCACAGATCCAGGCAGGTGCTGGTCATTTAAAAGCTAAATGCAGAAAATATGACGAGGCATATCTTGCTCTCGGCTTCACTCACCGTGTCTATACCGGACGCTACAGTTATTGTGTCACGCAGCAACAGCTCTACACTGGACGCGACAAAGCGACCATTGCAAATCATTTTAACTTTGTGTCAGTATGTCATAAATGGAACAAGGCATCAGTTTAATGTCGCGTCGCATCCAGTGTTCACATCGTCACTGATTATAATGGGTTCTACTGTATTTTGCCGCTCGCGTCCGGTGTAGACACCGTGTTTAATGTCGTTGGTGAGGAAAGCCTGTGTGTGTCCTATGCCTTAGCGGACAGCAAGAAACCCACAAAAAATAAATAAATAACAGAGAGAGAATAATAAGTTATTCTCTCTATGCTATTTTTCAATGTTTCAAGTGATGCAGGTGTTTTTTTCCCTGTAGGTTTTTTTAATTAAAAAAAGCATACATTTTTCATAATGTTTAGTGAAATTATTTGGTAGTCTGAGGTGGAATGGGGAATCGGGAAAGGGGGGCAGATTTTTTTAATAGGTTTAAAGGGGGGCGCGACCAAAATAAATTATTTTCCAAAATTGTTTAGCCCTAATTAGATTGGTAATGCCTCTGTGTTCAGACAATATGTGACCATTTGTGTAATAGACTGTGTTCATCATATACCATATGGAATCCGAGAGTCAGTTATTGCTGAAATTACCAGATTTGTAGAAAAAATGTACTGGAAATAACTTTCTATGGTTTGGATGGTTGATAGGTTGTTGCTAGGCTGATTATCAGACGTTTTATCATCCCTAAGGTGAAAATCATAAATCCAGTTGTTTTGAAAAGTTAAGAGGCAGAAATCAATTAGATAAATGCCAAAATTAAATGTTAAACCCATGATTCTAAGTGTGAGTAAAGAAGTACAGTCTATCTGTACCATATCGGTTATCATCTCATATTATTATTATCATCATTATTTTAATTTTTTTAATTGGTAACTTTTTAGTTTAGGGACAAATTCTCAGTATTAACTAACTTTAACTAAGACTTTTGCCTCAGTAAACTCCTAAATTGTTGCTTAATTTTAATAAGGTAGTTGTTAAATTTGGGTATGGGGTTAGGATTAAGGGATCTAAAACACGGTTCTGCAGAGTAAGGTATTAATATGTGTCCTTTAAGCACTAATAAAAAGCCAATATGCTAGTAATATGCATGCTAATAAGCAACTACTTAATGAGAATTGGTCCCTAAACAAACACATAATAAAAATCTCTAAATGAATATCAGTTTTTTTGTACTGTACATCTCTAATATTGTGATGCCTAAATTTTGTTGTGACATTTTAAAATAATTTATTTTATTTTTTTGTTTTATTTAACTTATTTTGACAAAATTGTATTGGATTTTATTATCAGCCATTGCATTAGTTATCTATCTGCCGTTAAAATAGTTGTCAATATTAGATTCATAAGAGTAACTGTTTTAGAACAACTTTA